CATATGACCAAAATGGAGAAACCCCGTCTCTACTAAAAACACAATATTAGCTGGGTGTGGTGGCACCTGCCTGTAATCCCAGCTACTCAGAAGGCTAAGGCAGGAGAATTGCTTGAACCTGGGAGGCGGAGGTTGCAACGAGCCGAGATTGTGCCATTGCACTCCTGCCTGTTTAACAAGAGTGAAACTCCTCTCAAAAAAAAAAACAACTCGAAGTCTCTTGTAATTGAAATACAGGCCATTGAGCTCTCTTGAGATTGCTGTACTTTGTGGTGTTTTTCATATATTGATGCCTATGCATATAATGATGCCTATGCATTTATGCTATAACTGGACAACAGAAATATCCAGTTATGTAAGGGATAGATTAGTTCAGGTTATGTGTATATATTTTTAACGTATTATTTTTAATTATAACTTTTGAGATATTTCATATCTATATGTTTTTCATATATAGATATGAAAAATATATATATAACCTGAAATAATCTATCCCTTTATATAACTGGGTATTTCTGTTGTCTCTTTGTAACAAGTTTTAGTGTATAGATACAAGCTGAAATATATTGTCTCTGTTTTAAAATTGAAGCTTCATGAAAATTTTTAATTATTTAAAAGATAGAGAACCATATACCTGTTTGTACCTTTAAAAATTTGTACATTGTGTTTGTATTACCTATTCAAAAAAATAAAATTTTTTAAATGGTAGAGAGAAATCTTAAGAATAAAGAAAAAGAAGACAATTCAGGAAACTACATTCAATTTTGTTTTTACAGACTCCGTAGGAGGGGTTGCAAAGCTATCAAGACAAATAGGAGAAAAAGACCAAAAAGATCCTGTCTTTGTGATTATAGGATCATTACAGTAGATCAAATATGTGGTCAATTTCTTAAAACACTGCATAATGAACTAGAATTTTAATTTCTTCAGAAGTCTGAAATAAACTTTTAATTTTTAATCACCTAAAAATTTTAATTCTATATTATATTTCCTACTTCCACCTTATATTTCAAAACAATTTTGCCAAATAGTTTCTGGCAAACATTTTTGCTTGCAGCTGACTTAACTGCCTTTTTAAGACTGCACAATGTTGAAGGAAAGAGAGAAGGAGGACTTAAAAAACTATCCCATTGTCATGTGGGCATTAAGGGTGTAAACTTTTGGAGTTAGAATAGACCTGATGATTTTCTAATTCAAGTCTAATTCATGTAAAAGATGTGTCTCAACCCCTTAATAAGATTACAGACAACTCAAGAGCAGGAACCATTAATTATATCTGTAGCTATAAAGTATTAAGACATTGTACTCTTAAAAATGCTTAACAAGTAGATAGATGATTGTAAAAGCTTCTGGGAGCTGTTCATGGATGAAGATTCCAGACTTTATCTCAAAAAATTTTCTTGACATCTCACTACATTTCCTTAACAAGTCTTTCCATTCATGTAACCTACCTTCTTCCCTCTTGCTGCAATTAGGAACCATTTGTTCTTATTGTTCTTCAAGAAAGATGTAGAATGTTTGAGCAACTTCTTCCTGATTTTAATGTCTTTGCATTTATGATACCTATCACAGTGTTTTACTTAAATTCGCATTTTTGGTTTTTGGTTTTTTTTTCCTTTTGAGACAGAGTTTCGTTCTTGTTGCCCAGGCTGGAGTGCAGTGGCCCGATCTTGGCTCACTGCAACCTCTGCCTCCTGGGTTCAAGCAATTCTCCTGCCTCAGCCTCTCAAGTAGCTGGGATTACAGGTACCTGCCACCAAGCCTGGCTAATTTTTTATATATATATTTTTAGTAGAAATGGGGTTTCACCATGTTGCCCAGGTTAGTCTTGAACTCCTGACCTCAAGTGATCCGCCTGCCTCGGCCTCCCAAAGTGCTGGGATTACAAGCATGAGCCACTGCTCCTGGCCTTAAATTAGCATTTAAATGGATGAATACTTAATATAGACTTCATTGCTCTTTACTTTTTTTTATTATGGTTAAAGAAGCATATAACATGAAATCTACCTTCTTAAATTTTTAAGTATACACTACAGTATTGTTAACTATATGCTTAATGTTGTGCAGCAGATGTCTAGAACGTTTTCGTCTTGCATGACTGAAATTCTATGCCCACTGAACAGCAACTGCCATTCCTCCTTGCCTCCAATGCTTGGCAACCAGCATTCAACTTTCTGCTTCTAAGAGTATGACTAGTTTAGATACCTCTTAAGTGGAATTTTGCAATATTTCTCCTACTGTCATTGCCCTTTACTTTTACCTCAATGAAATCATTTAGGTTCAATGTAGAACATAAAATTAATAATAGAACATAAAGAATAAACTAAGTTTTTCACACCCCATTTAAACATCAAATTGAATAATATGCTGAAAGAATAAGGTGTGTGTTTTTACAACTCTCGCAATTTTAAACCTGTATTAATATATCTTAGAAATGAGTTGACCTTGAGCTACGCTACAATGCTAACCTCTCAAAAGCTTATAGTCACCGTAGTCCTCAGATCTTTCCTAAGGAACAAAACATTTTGACACAGAAGAATCCTTGCATTTTAGCTTTTAACAAAATCTCAAGCAATCTGTTAACCAGACTACCATCAGCATCATCAGAAATGGGGATAAGTAAAGGCTTTGGTGGGTGCAGCCAGGGGGTTGATAAAACCTAAGAATGGAGTAAGAAATGGAGTGAAACTCAATGATGCCTATAGGCCATATTACCTGGTAATACAAAAAAAATGCATGTTTGACCCAATAACATGACATTAAAAACTATGTAGTTTGATAATACCTGGACAAATTTTGAAATGATAGATAACATGAATTTTTTTCTAGAATCAAATACAACGAACTGCATTTGCCTTTGAAGAGTGAGATTATTAAGGGATATTAGGTATATAAAGGGAATTCAATTATCAAGAGAAACATTTACACTTTATACTTTATTGTTTATTTTCTTTTGCACTTATTTTGATTTCTAGGTAAAATATTAAAATATTTAAAGCTCTCTCCAATAGACAATTTTTTTTTTAAACATAGCACTTTTACCTACAGTTAGTACTTTTTTTATTTCAGGGTTTAAAACATAAAATGTTTTGAAACAGGTTTGCTAATTTGGTCTGAAACATTTGGTCTGAAACGTTTGATCTGAAACATTTGCTCTTAGAAGAATGTTAGTGAACGAGATTTATCTTATCAAATTCTATGAGTTAGCTGCTGCAACACAGAGCATCCCAAAATTTAGTTGCTTAAAGCAGCAACCATAATTCTGTGGGTGAACTATTTGGCTTGGCCTCAGCTGGGTGGTTTTTGTGGTCTGTGCCAGGCTGGGCTGACTGCAGCTGGGCTCTCTCAGTGCGGCCGTGGTCAGCTGCCAGGATGACTAGGAATGAGTCAGTTAGTCTAGGATGGTCTCTCTTGGAAGGGCTTATGTCTGCTCCATATGGTCTCTTCCTCCTACAAGCTACCACAGCCTTGTTCACCTAAGGGTCCAGCAGGGTTCCAAGAGATGGAGCAGAAGCAGGTCAGGCCTCTCAAGGCTCAGAATTGGCCAACAACATCACTTTCACCACATTCTAGGCTAAAGCAACTCACAGGGCCAGCCCAGGTTCAAGGGATGGGGAAATAGACTTTGCCACTTGATGGAAGGAGTTGCAGAGGCACATTACAAAGAGGCATGTCTACAAAGGAAGGAGTAATTGTAGCCATTATTACTAAAAAATCTACAATACACGGCCTCATGCTACCCCAAAAATATGTGACTAACCGATGGAATAACTTTGTGGGAATCCAAAATCGATCACTTTTCTTAACATTTGCCCGTATAATTGTCTTTATTTTACTGGTACAATATAAGCAATTATTCAACTAGTAAAACTAATTAATACTCTAGATATAGCTTCCTTTTAATGGTAACAGCTAACACTGGCTATGAAGCATTTGCTATATGCCAGGCAATGTCTTAAAGCACAATATGTCATATCACAAAAGTAGGTGGTGGTTAGGGTTTGGAGTCTGGAGCCCAACTCGGTTTGAATCCCTATGTTAGTATTTATTAGCTGTGTGACTTGGGCAAGTGAATTAACCTTATTGTGCTTCCATTTTCTACCTATAAAATGGGCTAATAATAAACTTACATAACTCATAAGATTGACATGATGATTAGATTTAATCTGTGTTAAGTGCTGGTAACAATACCTAGTGTATGGTAAGGGTTATATAGCTGTCAGTTCTTGTTGTTATTGTCGTCATCATCATCATCATCCCCCTCACAATAACCCTGTGATAGTTAACTTTGTGTGTCATGTATGACTAATACAAACTTTGTGAGGTAGCTTCTATTATTGTCTCCATTTTATAGAGAAGAACATTGAAGTTCAGGGAGACCGACCAAAGTCACAAAGGCAAGATGTGGCAGGGCCCTCATTCAAGCCCAGGCAGCTGTTTTGAGTCTGGGCTTTTCATGCCCTGCAACACTGCCATGCCGTTTAATAGTACGTTCCAGAATAGTTGTCTACAGGTCAAACATATACAGGTCATGTTCTTTTTTCCCCTGTGGTCAGCATTTCAGAAGAGCTTTATTTTCCCCACTACTTAGTTTGCAGCTGAGCAGACAGATATAAGAGGTAGCTATATGTACAGAAAGAACTCTGACATGCAATGAACTTAACTGTTGCATGCAAAGTACAGAGTTACACACTTGCAGACATCTCATTTTATCTTCACAGGTAACCCATTAGGTATGTATTATCCCCATTTTATAGACTAGGACACCGAGACTGCTCTTGTCCAACATCACAAAGAGTGGGTCTACCTCCAAAGCTTTTTCTGCTAGGCAGAATTGCTAAATTAAATGTAGAGAGATTCTATCACAAACACTTTTGTAAAGTGAATCCGTAATAATCATTACCTAATTTGTTTGTTGAGGAAAGGCAGAGGGTCTCACTTCTTAAAAAGTGACTTCATGGTTAAACTCTGATGAATGATTCTGTTCTCTTCACTTCCAGAGGAGATTTGCACCCTGGTTATCGCTGAGACTTTCCCTGAAGATGCAGGGATCTTTACATGTTCAGCAAGAAATGATTATGGATCAGCAACCAGCACTGCCCAGCTGGTTGTCACCTCAGGTATGTGAGGAGTAAAAACGACGACTGGGTTCTGTTCCCCAGCACCAGTGTGGTTGGTCACAGCAGAAAGGGACTGTCCCGGCCAGCTGTGGTGGCTCATGCCTCTAATCCCAGCACTTTGGGAGGCCAAGGCAGGCGGATCATTTGAGGTGAAGAGTTCGAGACCAGCCTGGCTAACGTGGTGAAACCCTGTCTCTACTAAAAATACAAAAATTAGCCAGGTATGGTGGTGTGTGCCTGTAATCCCAGCTACTCTGGAGGCTGAGGCTGGAGAACCACTTGAACCCAGAAGGTGGAGGTGGCAGTGAGCCGAGATCGTCCCACTGCACTCCAGCCTGGGTGACAGAGTAAGACTCTGTCTAAAAAAAAAAAAAGAAAGAAAGAAAGAAAAAAGAAAGGGACTGTCTCAGGAAGAGAGCTCAGCTCAGCCTTCAGGAATGCTGGCCACTCCAGGAGTCACCCTAACAATCTAAGTTTCATGGTGGAACAAAGGCTTTAGGGGAGGGGAGGAGAGGGAGTGAGGTAGAGATGATAAACAAAAAGATAATGATCATGTAGCAACTGAACACACATGGAGCTTTCTTTAACATCGTGCAGTCTTGGTCTTGGAAACGATGGAGCTGGTTTCCTAACATCCTCCTGCTAATCTAGAATCATATTCACATTGGAAAGCCACCTCTACATCAGAGGTGCGTCACTTTCTCAGCAGTGCCAACACATGAGATCTGGAGATACTTGTACAAATAAGCCATTGTCCAATCCACTACTGAAACTTCGGAAAAGGTAATACAAGATAAGCCTTTTTGTATAAAATGTAATACAAGATAAACCCAGAGAAGCTGTAAAGGCCTTCGAACTCAAATTTCATTGATAGTGTATATCAAGGATAGTATATAACTAATATGAAAAAGAAAGCAACGTATTATTGAAGCCAGTTTTCAAAAATACGTGAATATTTTCTAAACTCAAAAACTTACCACTAGGGAAGGGAATGTGGAAAAAGTTTTTTTTCTTTTTCTTTTATTTTTATTTGACTGTTTTCTACAGTTACTAATGAGTGTTAGCTTACTTTAATTGCCTCATCTCTGCCATTCATCTTAAAGATATCTTTAAAATATGTTTTTGACCAAGCCTGGCACATAATGTGCATAGTAGGGAATCAATAAATGGGTCATTCGTTGAATGATACACACTTGGAGATAACAACTGAATTGTACTTGGATTCCTTCAGAAGAGCAAGAACTTGGTGCTAGGTGGCAGTAGAGACACAACCAAAACTTATTTAGGGACCTTAGAGTGGCAATTATAAATGCTTTTTCATCTTAATTACGAACAGAAATGGGAGAATCATCTTAAATGGGAAATGGTTTCTATGAAAGACTACTGTAAGTGCTGAAAGAAACCTAAGTGTCAGGATCGGAGTTACAGAGCAAGGAGAACCCCAGCGTTTTGATTTCGAGTTGGCGTCAACACTGTCCCATCAAATGGCCACAGCAGGAGTGCAGTGCTTAAACAATATGGCCAAAACCCTGGGCTCTATGAGTCTGAGAGGCAAAAATCTGTGTGTAGTATTTTCCATTTGTTTCTGCGGTATATCTGCTATAGGTCAAACATAATCAACAAATATTTTATTTTTGAACTTTTTGTTTACCTCAATAAGCATTTTTGAGTGCACGCCAGGAGCTCTGCTGGGCTCTGGGCAAGGTGCAGAATCTAAAAAAGACGTGATCTCAAGATGCTTTCAGCCTATTGAGGGCAACAAATAAAAATCTCTTTCGTACTGAGTTATAGTTGGAGCAATCATCTAATATGGAAAAAAAATATTTTTATGAGATGATGAAATTTTACTTGGACTCTGAGCTTTACTTCCCTAGCTTTAGATGAATATCCACATAAAACCTTTACACCTTGAGCCAATTTGAGTAATGACAGCTAGGATTTTCAGTCGGGCCCATGGACCAAAACGTGAGAGGACAAAGCATTATTAGTTGCTACTGTTTGTGTTGTCATTTTTTATTTATTTATTTATTTATTTATTTTTTGCCAAGTTCTATCTTTAGCTCTTGTTTGAAATTGTTAGGATTCGGTAGCCGGGTTCCCCACACGTGAGCTCAGTCAGGAAATGAAACGGTAGCAGTCATTCAAAACAAGCTTGAAAGAACCAGGCCCTCCAGCTGGCAGTGTTTCTGCATCAGATGAGAGCAGCACAATCACCTCTTCTTTAACAACTTCACACAACACAGGGATTCTCAGAAGACTCTGACAGTGTGAAATCACTTGTTGAACTAGTAGCATCTTCTTATGTTTTTCCTCTTTCCCCTTCCTCAGCCAACACCGAAAACTGTAGTTATGAGTCAATGGGAGAATCCAACAATGATCACTTCCAGCACTTTCCACCTCCCCCTCCAGTCTTGGAGACAAGTTCCTTGGAATTGGCTTCAAAGAAACCATCTGAGATGCAGCAGGTGAACCACCCTGAGTTAGGCCTGAGCAGGGCAGCCCTTCAAATGCAATTCAATTCTGCTGAGAGGGAAACGAACGGAGTCCATCCCAGCCACGGAGTAAATGGACTGATTAACGGCAAAGCTAACAGTAATAAATCTCTTCCAACACCAGCTGTCCTGCTTTCACCCACTAAGGAGCCACCACCTCTGCTTGCCAAACCAAAACTGTGAGTATTTCTGCATGGTTTTATAATAATTTCCATACCCCTGTTACATTTCCTTTCTGGTGAGAAAAAACTTTTGCCTGGACTCAACTATGTGGCAAGTTGTCCTTGACTCATGTGACCTTTGCTGCCAAGCGGTATCCTTCAACAATAGAAAAGATACCTAAAAATGAAGAAGGGAAATGAAAAGCTTAGTGAAATCTGCCCTTTGCTGAAAGCTGTGACTTGGTTACAGCTATGAAAATATCTGTGCCCGGCGTGGGCTTCCAGCATACAGCTAAGGATGTAGCCACTCCCCGGAGGCCATGGAAAAGGGGGATCTACTTTGAGCCCTTTATTAAAAGCATTTCCAAAAGTGGGTGTAAGTACTTTACATTTGTTACTTTAAATATTAAGTATCAGTAAGGAGGTCTGATATCGGCAAGCAGGGAAAGACTAAAAGCTGAGGCTGGAAATTCAGGGTGCAGATCCTGGCAGGGCAATGAAACCGGAGGTAAGCAGGCTTGTGGGCAAGAAGAGCGCCTGTCACAACACAGGCTACTTGGCTTGGAATTCCATGGAACTGCATATTTCCATGAATACCATCTTCACGGTTGATGTCCATTATTTTCTTAGGATGATAAAACTTGCATGAGCTGTTTCCAATGGCAACGCACAGCAGAGAGTTGTTATGAATGGAGCCATTACAATGTCAGAGAGGCAGAAATAAATTAGCTCAAATGGTTCTATCACAGCACAACAGACCCTGAATTACTGCCCCGCCAGAGGTCAGTGGAAATGTAAAAGTCATAGTGAAAGTGTATGTACTCGATGAGGTCACATTCCCATGAGAATGTATTTGCCAGAACTTAGGAAAGCCCCTTCTATTTACCCATATCTGATGTTTTTGATTTGGGGCAGGAAGGGCTTCTTTAGGAGTTATTCCTTATTTCCCTGGCATTGAACAGCCTCCTCTTTTCTCTCTGTGATCAGTTCATTTGTTAGAAATGTTAGAATTTAAAAGATATTTGAATTATTAACACCTTACCTTTGTACATCACTTTATTGTTTACTGAGTGATTTCATGAACAACATTAGACTAATCAAATAACAAAAGCAGTCAAAAGAATACCTTAAGTTAACAAATGGTCAAACAATTTTATAAAACTAGACTTCTGGACAATCTTGTGTTGCAGATTCAAAAATCTGTCTATTGCTACCCTCTACTTAATTTTGCATTATGTTCTGGCTCTCTTTTAAGACAGTAGGGCTACTCACTAAGCTTGTACACAATAGCGTGAAAGGTGTTGGTGAACATTTAATACCTATGCGCCGTCTCCATTCAGAGGCTGAACAGGTATAATGAGCTAAAAAATGGTGGCCTTAAAAGAGATTTATGCTCTTGTAGCAGCAACCCATAAAATTAATTGCCACTGCTGACTTCTTTCATCTTTGCATTTTGAATATGTATTTGCAGTGCTTTTAATGAAACAAGGGACCTGCTCTCCAGGGAGAGAAAGGGCAAATGTGTTGAATGACTAGGACTTGATTGTGGTCTTGATTAAGTAAAGTCTATCTACTCTAATGGGTATCATAAATTGCATGTAAATCACAGGAGGAGCAAACATGAGGAGTTTTTAAGAGGCATCTACAGCCCTTCTTATCTCAGGAGTTTGAATAACTCTGGAGCTTTTAGTTCTGCTTTGCAGCCACGTTAATGGATATGGCAAGGGGGTAGTATCTACAGAATGCAGACAGAACAACTTCGTGTTCATTAAGAGGATGACAACTTAAGCACAAGTTTAAAGAACATCAGGATTTGCTTATGAGTGAGATCTTTCAATACAAAATAAGATGCAGAAAAAATGGACTTAAATGTGTGAGGCCCAAATAAATGGGTTGTTCTCCCTTCATGAGGAAATTTAAGGGAAAAAGTAGAACACCTAAACACAAAGCCCTACAGCTTAGAAACAACATTTACTTGTACTAGGTTTTCCCACTGTTTTTTTTTTTTTTCTTCAAATCTTCATGTGTTTAAACATATTCTTCAGGCATCACTTGATTTTTGTTTTTCTGTGTTGCAGATTTACCTGCCATTTAACTAGGTAGAAAATAATATGTGATGATGCTTTTTAAATACATATTTTTAAGTTTTCTAATGATGTAGAATATGTTATTGGATTTTGTTTTATTACAAAATCAATGGATGCTTGATGTGACAATTCAAACAACACAAAAGCTATTAAAGTTTACACTCTCTGCTTCCCTTCTTCCAGCCTACCCCTCTGAAAGGTGTGGCATGGTGTATTATCAGAGCCTTTTCTTCTTTTTTTTTTTTTTATTATACTTTAAGTTCTAGGGTACAAGTGCACAACGTGCAGGTTTGTTACATATGTATACTTGTGCCATGTTGGTGTGCTGCACCCATCAACTCGTCAGCACCCATCAACTCGTCATTTACATCAGGTATGACCCCCAATGCCATCCCTCCCCCTCCCCCCGACAATAGACCCCGGTGTGTGATGTTCCCCTTCCCGAGTCCAAGTGATCTCATTGTTCAGTTCCCACCTATGAGTGAGAACATGCGGTGTTTGGTTTTCTGTTCTTGCAATAGTTTGCTGAGAATGATGGTTTCCAGCTGCATCCATGTCCCTACAAAGGACACGAACTCATCTTTTTTTATGGCTGCATAGTATTCCATGGTGTATATGTGCCACATTTTCTTAATCCAGTCTATCACAGCCTTTTCTAAAAAAGGTTTGTTCAGTGTTCTCAAAGTTGTATTATTGATAGAGAAATGCTGTTGAATGACATCTACAAATAATTTAGAACAGCATCTGAGTTATTGATCATGAATGACTATAGGTAACTGCCAAGTGAAATTCTTATATATTCATTTTTTTCTTTTCATTCATTGTGGGAAAAAGTGATATTTTATTTGCCTCATATGGTCAGCAGTGAAAAACTATGGTTTGCTCAAATCTTATTTTCATCTGTCTATGATATGATTTTCTTTCACAAAAGGAAAGGCTTATATGTGGCGGCGTTATGGCACTTTGTGCATCTTCATCATTTGTAAACAAACTAATAGGAAACAATTTGGAGGGTACAAGTAATAGGAACTAGAATATTTACTCTCGCAATGAATCTGAAAATGGTGTCTGATGTGTCAGATGTCTGGAGGAAAAAAGATCATTTTCAGGGGGAAAAAAAAAAAAACTCTGAATTTTTTTTTTTCTCTCTTGAATAGCTCCAATACTGATTGTGGGAAAAGAAAAACAAATTCAAGAATGAAACAAAAACCTAGAAAGGTCATGAGCTCTTTTCTGTAACTAGGCCCAGCCCCCACCCTGTACTGTCCAACAGAAGTCCTCACCAACAGACTCACAGCCATCCCAGACCTCCAGCCGAGTCCGTGGTACCGCTCATAAAGTGGAGGTTCCTGGCCCAGTCTGTGGTACCTCTCATGAAGTGGGGGTTCCTGGCTTAGTATCGTGGAGGCATCCACCTCAGCTCCTACATCTGCCTTTGTTTCTAACACTCTGCCTCAAGTATAAGTGGAAGATAATTACATGTAGGCCATTCGGTGAGTCCCAGATGTCCCGCACGCTGGATTTGTGCAACGCCTTACCACCTTCTGTGGGACTGTGAAGTGTGCTTAATCACTGCACAAGAAAAAATTAATGGCGCTATCTCTGCAACTCAGTGGTTGACAGTCATAATCTTTGATCACAGCATGAAAGAAGCAACACAATGCTAAAGTCATAATCTTAACAGGAGGGAAAAAGGGAATGAGCGTAAACCTAACTTATACACTGTTCTTTTCCTTGGTTCCTCGCTGCCCTCTCATTACAAATGATGCCTGAAGATTCAAAATAAAGGTAGGGTTCACTGTGAAAAATCTCTGCTTCTCTTTATACCTACCAAGAAACAGTCCTTCAAAAGATGGACATGCACGGAATCCCTAGAAGTAAACTCTGAAGGGAAACCTGTGAATGGCAAAATGTAGTAGTCCATTTGCCAAGCATATAGAAAGGCATGGTCATTGTTTGTCCACTGAGCTCACCTCCTATAGCAGACCAAATAATATATAAATAACAATATGCTACTTTCAAAACCCTTTTGTTACTTCCTTTTTTATCTTCTTCCTTTGTCTTGTGGGAGAAAGTGGGACTCTAAGCCTGTAGACGGCAAAATGAGAACTCCAAAGGGAGGTTACTGAAGGGTGATGCGCTGGGCAAGTCCTTATCCCAGGACAGATCAGCAGATAAAATGATGCTTATTTGTTACTCTAGTGCCAAAAATATGTGCATTGTTGTAAAAGTCTGTGTCCTTTTGTCTGGGAGAATAATAATGAAATGATTGTTAAGTGTTTACATGCTAAAGCAACAGCTCCCCTTGCTCCGATTCTTACTACTTGCTCTTACCCCAGTCTCTAAAGAAGAAACAGTATTATGATTTTCCATCTTAAAAGAGTGAAACGATTTCAGGCTGAATCAACCTTTTCAAAATTACTGCATTTTACAACCTTTGGTTTTCTCTTCTTCCTTTTTCTCACTCCCACCCTTAGATACCCTATTGTTCTGCAAATCCTGTCTCCAGAGAAAGATATATCCTATAAACTCATTCACGTTAAGCTGTTAGGAATTGTTAGTGTCACCTCAGTCCAGTTCTAGGCTAACAAAGAGAAGGACATCTTAATAAGCAATAATAAGCACTGCAGAAAATCAGGAAAATATCATTTCATGAGATGATGTGTTTGAGAGATAGAAGAGGAGGAACTAGCAGCCTTTATCATTCTCTTTATTAGTGAGGTTTTCTATATTTGGAAATTCCTGATGGGTTTCCTCTGCAATCCTAGACACAAATTGAAGTACAAGTTGTTCCCTTGCCTGGAATGTTCCACTCCCCAGAATGTTCCGCTTCTAATGGCTGGCTGTTACTTGTCTTTCAAATCTCAGCTTAATGTCACCATTTCCCTGACCACCCGGTAAAAAGTAGCCACCCAGCCATGTTCCAATAAC